ACACTGAGAGCAGCCATCCCTGCTGCTGCTGCTGCTGCTGCTGCGGAGGGGAGGCACGGCTGGGGCTGGCACCCAGCCTGGCAGCACGCACATCCCCAGGGAGCTGCCAGGAGGGCTGAGGCCACCCCAGCGCTGCTGGATCCGCTGGGACTGCCAGGGTTTATCTGCCCCTGCTCCGAGCCCAGGCGAAGGCACACGGGTCCCTCCACATCCCTGCCCACCACGGCCCCGGGAAGGGCTGGACCTCGCCTCCTCACCAGCCCCAAGTCATTCAATCCTGAAGACCACATGCAAGACAAGCTCAGATACCTTCTAATTAAAACAGATTATCATGAGACATGCTTTAATGAACAAGTTTCATAACCAATCAGCCCTAATAATAATTGCTGGTCCAGCCGATGACTCAGAGTGTCTAGGAACTATAATCACATCTTATTCTTCAGCTGTAATTAAAGACCCATCATACGAGAGCAAGAAGGGGGGTTGCTTAGGCTGGCAATGCCTCTGCTGGACAGGGCTCTGGCTGCAAACGCTCCTGGGATGGGTGGGATACCGGGAGCTGGAGGAGGACCTGGCTGCAGATAAACCCTGGCTGAAGCACCCACTCTCACCCCATCGATGAGCCAGGCAGGGGGAAGGGAATGAAACTCCGCAGGAGCTGTTCCAGCTTCTTCCTTCAGGATAAATCTCTATCTTAGCATCAAGCAGCACATTGTTCAACCAGAAGGTTCATCTAAATATTGCTTTTGAGGTATTGAAGCCATTTGTAAATGGAATCCAGATTTGTCACCTGCCAGTACCCAGGGGAATAGACTGCTCGGGTGAGAACGGTTTGCTCTGACATCCTTTTCAAAGGAACTTTCTCAGCTTTCCAAAAGAATGCTTCAGCTGTGGCCATTTCTATTAAAAGGGGCTAAAAATAAAGTGTGGCAATCACAAGCCAAACAAACTCCCCCAGACCCGAGGTGTTACAGACAACCATACCCTGTGATTCATCACAAGGGGTGGGTTTGCCCTCCCCTGCTATTCCTCACGGTGCTGCTGGGCTCCTTCTGGCACGTGTAAAAAGCCACCCGGTAGCAGAGAGGCTCGATGGCAGCGC